TTATAAACATGCAAGCAGAAAATCCTCTGTTGATGGAGCAGAATATGGAGCTCTGTGTGCTGTGTGTACATCCAAACACTTCTAAAAGACGGTCTTGTATGGTGAAACGATATAAAAACATGACACAGAGAGGTAATTTGATAAAAAAAAAATAACAACAGTATTATTGTGCTATAGCTTAAATAAACTTTATTCATTCATTCATTTTCTTTTCGGCTTGGTTCCTTAATGAATCTGGGGTCGCCACAGCGGAATGAACCGCCAACTTATCCAGCATATGTTCTACGAAGCGGATACCCGTCATCACCGGGAAACATCCACACACACTCAGACACACATACACTAAGGTCAATTTTAGCACACACTCTAAAAAACGTTGAGTTATTTATTTCACCTAATGGTTGAGTTGAACATATTCGGTGCTTTGTTGGGTTATTGTTAACCTTTGTTTGGTTATTAATTTAAGAACTCAACCAGTTGGGTTAAAAATTTAAATTTCATTAGTCAACTGATTTAACTGACACAAAACAGCTGTTTTAATATGCGGTGTAATGTTGTTTTTGCATTATAACGTTTATTTATGTTGTAACGTAATAATATTGTTGTTATTTTTTTATCAAATAACCTCTTTTTGTCGTATTTATATCCACTTCACCTTCCAAGACCATCTTATAGAAGTGTTAGGATGTGATTTAAATGTATTGTAGATTGTGGACACTGAGTGAAGCCTGCTGCAGCTGCTGGACAGCCTCTACAGCACACAGAGCTCCATATTTTGCTCAATCAACACAGAACCTTCTGCTTGCACAGTTTATAACTGTCTGTACTTTCTGTTTCTTCATGGTTTGTGATTCTTGATTTATTTAACAAAAGTATCTGGAACTTAAATGTAATAAAAATTAAAGTTCAATATTTTTGAATACTATATGTTATTTATTTACACCAGTGGTCACCAAACTTGTTCCTGGAGGGCCGGTGTCCTGCAGATTTTCGCTCCAACCCTAATTAAACACACCTGAACAAGCTAATCAAGGTCTTACTAGGTATACTTGAAACATCCATGCAGGTGTGTTGAGGTAAGTTGGAGCTAAATCCTGCAGGGACACCGGCCCTCCAGGACCAGGGTTGGTGACCCCTGATTTACACAGTCATATTTTATAAAACCAATAGTAGTTCTAGAAATAGTAGCAATAGTAAAACCAGAATGGGAAAAAAAGACATTTAAACAAAATAACCCAATGTATTGGGTTAAATTATATAAGTTACAATAACCCATAATTGGGAAGGTGCTATAATAACCTATAGTTGGGTTATATGTTGGGGTATTTTTAACCCAACTATTTTAACAGAGTACATAAACCACATGTTTTTGGACTTCGGGAAAAACGGCAACTGACCCAGCCGAGGCTCAAACTAGCAACCTTCTAGCTGTGAAACGAATGTGCTACTCATTGCGCCATGGTGTCGCCCTTAAATAAACATTATGATGCAAAAACAACATTATGCACACGTATTAAAACAGCTGTTCTGTGTCATTTATATCAGTTGACTGTCGAAATGTTTTTTTTTTAAACCCAACTAGTTGAGCTATTAAATTAATAACCAAATAAAGTTTAAAAATAGCCCAACAAAGCACCAAATATGTTCAACTCAACCATTGGGTTAAACAAATAACTCAACACTTTTTAGAGTGTATCAAAGAACATTGTTCACGGTCACTTAAATAGTGCTAATGTTGTTTTGAAGGGATACTTTGAAAGTATAGCATGGTAAACAATAGGGACCGTTAAAATGAACGACTGTGATCATATAAAACCAACTTTATAGAGTGTATTTGCTTAAACTTTCATATCAAAATCAATCGACAGCATGGAAAGTCCATTTAAATGAAGAGGTGGGTGAGATTGTTCCACAAGAAAAACTCACGAAACCATAAAGAGCTGTTGACACGCTGTTGAGAATCTCTCAGATGAAATATTTCATGACGGCGTGCTACACCTTTTAAAATCTCCAAAACAACCCGAGCAAAGTGCTTTCACGCCTGCTTTCGGTGCTTTGAAGTGGCTTCCTTTGATTTCCACCTCGAGATCGAGCAGAAAAACATGCAGGTGGGTCACTGACGTCATCCACAGGTGGACCCCGAGTGGGCTTTTCTCAGCGTGTTAAAATAATCCTACGATTTACTAGCTGTGGAACAAAAACAAACATCCCACACAATTCAGAGCCATTATTATCAGAGCCATTATTATTTAGCCTTACAATTGAAACTTTATTTGATGGCCGTATGAAGTACATAAGACACCAAAGTACCAGTTATTGTGGTAATTAATTCAGTTTAGGTCACATGTTTCACTTGCCAAAAGATTCATTCAGCTTATGAGGACACCCAAAAACACAACACCATGCAGCAACACAGTGAATTAAGAATTGTATTAACCTGCTAATTTTGAAAACAATTTATTCTGTCCTTATAATTCGATTAAGGAAATCATTGTGTAACCAGTTTTATGAAATGATTAAGAATATAAGTATATATATATATATATATATATATATATATATATATATATATATATATATATATATATAAATATAAATATATATCTATATATAAATATATATATATATATATATATATATATATATATATATATATAAATATATATATATATATAAATATATATAAATATTTATATATAAGTTGTTCTTGCCTCTCTTGAAAATTCCTCTAACAACACCATAATAGTATAAACGGCAAAAGTCAGTCTAAGGCACTCCAAAGATGTGGAATTTTTTTTTTTAAGTCTTTACTGACATGGCTATTTCTTAAAACACGTTTTGATGACACTTGACTTCATGTAGCCACAGTTTTAAGGAACAGCCATGTCAATAAAGGACTTAAAAAATAAAAATAAATTTCCACATTTTTTGAGTGCCTTGGACTGATTTTGATGTTTATTCTGATGAATCCCTTACACAAAGAGCACCGACACATTATTTAAGCTACCCCTTAACTTTTTGTTTGATTTTGGATTTTTATACACCGCCTAATTAGTATTCAAATTAACGTTAATAGGCTGCTTTTGGTGCTTCGGACCTTTTCATTGGTCATTTTTTTCTCAAGAAGGTTCAAGATTCAGAATAGGCTACTAGTTGTACAATGTTTTTTTTTTTAACAACAGTCGGTCAATAATGAAAGTTGACTTCTTGTGTCATATTGTGCGTTTTCTTTGCTTTGTTGGGTTATCTTCACAATTTATGATGACATAGCAGTCAAAATAGGTCAAATTAGAATAAAGTGGCAAACATTCTGGACCAATGGCAAATTCTGGGGGTGGGGGTGATGATGTTTGATCAAACTGAAATATGAATTTTTAATCAGCGTTATTGCTAGTTTTGTTTTTTGTTTGTACAATGATTGTTTTGTACTATTGTTTATTAAGAAAGCTATGATTGTAAATGATATATTGAATATTTTGTACAAGTGTTGCCATACAGCCAATGCTGCTGATATAGCATTAAAATATCAATAAATAAATCAGCTTCACGGCCTTGCAAAGAGTTTATAAGCACGCTTATTGTTAATAACTACAGGTACATTGACATTTACACTTACCCTTTAGTTGTTTTTCATCAGCACCAAAAACACTACCTATCCTTTAGAGCAGGGGTTCCCAAACATTTCAGCCCACGACCCCCAAAATAACAATGCCCGTGACTCGCGACCCCCAATATTCTCTGAGGTGGTTATAAATACAGAAACCTCGCATGCAATGGCACGCACACACCAACAGACCCAAGTCTATTCTTCATTTATTTATTTTTAATGTATGTGAGTGCTGTAAATGGGCCAGAAAGTTTAACCTGGTGATATAAAATCAATCTGCTGCAACTGACATTAATATAATGTAATTATCCCAGAGGTCGCAATCCAATAGTACTAGTAACTATAAGCTACTTTAGAAACTGTATAGTACATTGTAACTGTAAAACAACATAAACAACATTTTTTTTCCAGTGGGTTATGGATAAAATATGGCAATTCTTATGGTTTAATAAAAAATAGATTTTTGGAAATCACCAGGTGACCCCCCCCCCCCCCCCCTTCATTGTCCCGCAACCCCCACTTTGAGAACCACTGCCTTAGAGATATAGGTTAACTCACCCTGTTTTCTCTGTATAAAGGTCAATGTGTTTTTCTGCTTGTTGCTTTAATTTGTGCATCTAGTCTTTCATCTTTCAACTTGTCCTAAATCCAAAATATGTATTGAACAATGCCAAAATCTGTGCAATAGCCTATTATAAATATTAATTTATTTTTATATTGCAAAACCAGTATTCTGATGCCCTTTTAAATGTTGACTGTTGTTTATTTATTTATTTTTTTGGTAAATTAGTCAAATATTTATAGACAAATAATAATAAATAGACTAATAATAATAAAAAATAATCATTTTAAGTAATTTTATCACGTCTATTATCATCTCAAATGTGTCTGAACTGAATTACAGGTTATTTGGAACAGCATCATTGTTCCCTTTTGACGGTTCAACCCACTAAATTCTGTGGAAACACACACACACACACACACACCATCCCACATGTTTAAAGTGGTCTTGTCCAACTTCGGAAACCCCCTCTCTGCTCTCCAGCCCCGCTGATCCTAGAGCGGTGAAACTATTCCGCCTGGGCCTGTGGGCGGAGAGTGACGTACGAGGAGCAAAAGTGACCATATATGGTGTGCTGCTTGACGTCAGCAGGAAAGGCCTAGTGCCTCTTGTGTGAAAGCGCAAATGCAGGAAGCGTTGACCAATACGCAACCTCCAGAAACCAGCTGAGTACTTCACTACTATTGAATAATAATATCGTCAAGCCACAATAAATCAGTTTAGTTTTCATGTAGTTGTAGGCTGAATGTGAAGACTCTGAGGAACTGAGTTACACAACTGGTTAAAGCGACACATTGTATAACACAGAATGAAAAGCCACACTCTTAAAGGTTATATTTCAATGCATTTACTTAAATAAACAGCGCACACAATAAAAAAACGACATTGTAAACATGTGACATTGTTAACATGGCGTCAGGATCAACCCGACTGACACAATAATTTATGAGTTCAGAAACAGTACTGCACGAAAATATCAGATGCGTCCACATGATCAAAAACAGAGCTGATCATGACATTAAACACATTATTGATGTACGACTGGCCTTTCCACTGCGTCGAGGCGCGCGCGCGCGGCTCTCTCTGGGGGCCGCAGTGTCCGTTCTCTTCCGTCCCAGAGGACGCTTCGCGACGAGCTTTTAATCGGAGTCCAGGACGGGTCCAAAACAGCTCAGCTGAGAGCTCGCGAGTGTCGTTCAGTTGTCGAACAAACAATCTCCAGTGTTATTTCTGCGTCTTGCTTTAGTGAAAGTCCCGTCGCGTTTAAAACGCCTCCATCTTACTGGTCAGCATGAGCTGACAGCCGCTGTTCATGTGCCTCAGGACCTTCTGCTTGAGTTGCGCCACCTGTTCCCGCAGAACAGACGCTGTGTTGGACAGTCCGGCGTTGTCGGACTTCAGTACCTTCACTTTTTCCTCCAGCCGCGCGATGCGTTCTAGTTTGCGCCTTCGGCATTTGGTGGCCGCCAGTCGGTTCCGGAGCCTCTTGCGTTCCGCCTTGATGCGTTCCTGCGAGTCCATGTCGATCGGGGACATGGGCGGCGAGCCGTCGCTGCTATGCATGTCGGGAACAGTCTGCGGTTCCTCTTTCAAAGGCAAGAAGCGCTGAGGGAGCACGCCGGGGTGCTGGAACGCGTGCGCGGTTTCCGGGTGCTGGCTCTGCTGTATGTGGGACGGCAGGTAGCTGATGGTGGTGGACGGGTGGCTGGGTGCTGGGCAGTATGCGTTCAGCGTCGTGTAAATGGGAGGCTCCGACTGCAGGGAGGAGCCGAAAACGGACGCAGTTGTCGAGCACGTCGTCACGCCGCCGGCTCCAATCGACACGTTGGGCGGGGGCATCTGGTTCATCTTGTGGAGCTCATCCAGAGCCTTGACGAAGCCCTCCGCGAAGCCCTCCTGCTCGTCGGTGATCCCCCGACCGTAGAGGTACTGGCCCGGTGTGGGGGTCGTCAGCACGCCGTTGCCCGTCTGGATGATGAGCCTCTCCAGCTCCGGGGAGGCCAGTTTGAGTGAGCCCACATCGGCGCTGGACGCCTGATAGAGGTCCGATTTGAGGCTCCGATAGGGCGGCTCGGTCACGTTCAAGTTCATGCCCGGTTTCTGGAGTTTGTAGTCGTGTAGAGCCGCGTCGTTGTGACCGTAACCCAACAGAAACGAGTCGTCGTGGTAAAACGGCTGCTCCATTTTTGTACTCATAGAGTTTGAAAACCGGTGGTTCAGCTGGCGAGCCTGACAGTTCAGCGTCCACCTGTAAAACCGTCCGAGAAGGAGCGCGAATAACGATGACAGTCAATGAAGCGGCGTTTTCTGTCCCGTTCCCCTCTTCAGGAATCTAACAATCTGCCGATGCTCCTCTGGAATGAATTAAACACAAGCCAAAGTCCTTCAGAATGAGCCGAGTAGCGCAGCGGTGAACCGCTCGGGATGTTTCTGAGTCTCCTACTGAAAGTGAACGCTCCCTCAGAGAGATGTTGGCTTGATTTGCTCTGATGCGTTCTTTCTCGTGGATCGGTATCCCGATTTGGTTTTTATAAGCAGCTCTCGCACTGACAGCTGGTCACGCCCCTACGGCGTTACGTCACACGCTTTCTCACGTCATTGTCGGGAACTGCTGGGACTGTAAACAAGCCCGAGGGCGAAGCGCGCACCAGAGCCGCAGTAAAGCGATCCTTTAGCGCATTTATGGTCACGATTTTACAGAATAATTACAAATCTAATACTCCGATTCACGCTTTATGCCCTCGAACAGCGGATTAATGAGGTAGGCTTATAGCTGTTTAGCTATATACACATATAAAGCCGATAGACTGATTTATAATTCTTTTAATAATTCTTTTCAGGATTTAGTATACCTTTGATAAGTATAGTTGTAGTTTTATTAAGCTGTGATGTGACATAAATATTCGAAATAAAGCTGTTTTATTATTGAACAGAGCCCTGCTGTTTTTTATTGCTGTTTTATGTTATTGTTGTGAGGTTTTCAGTCTAAGACAGTTCGCCTGTTTTAACTAATTCGAGGATTAAATGGTAGCTTTTGTTTTTCAACTTTGCTGAATGTGCAAGTTAGTGAAAAAGTCAGACAACAAACATTCTGCTCGTCTCGGACACTCAGACAGCCGCTTCCTGTAGGAAGTTTACAGTCCAAATATGGGCACGGTGACGTGGAGTTCCTCTTCAGCAGGAGTGTGCGCTGCCCCGCCCACTTTTTTCTGGACTCCGCAGAAGCGCGTTCATTCTCCATTTGATATACCTGCTAACTTACATTTACGTACACTCAGAACAGAAAACACATTTGGGGATGTTATTATATTCGTATATCATCGGGTCAGAAACTGATTAGGTCTCCAAAGCAGGCCAGTAAGTTAATCATAGTTTGGCAGACTCAAAAAACAGGTTCTTCATTCAGATTAAAGGCTTTATTTCTCATTCCTCGTGTCTCCAGAGCGTTAACCTCGAACAATAATGACAACATTTATATAATTAAATCTAATTAATACATTTGGATTCATTTAACATGAGCTGATCACGTAAGTCTTATGTAAATAAGGTCAGTAGCTCAAACGTTGGCACTTTGTATTGCAGACAAATTTATTATAAAGCGATTAGTGAAATTTTAATAATTTTTCCGTCAAATTTTTCTTTTATTTTGTATTATTTGAACACAGAAAAACATGCCGTACACAATCAGCATATAGTGCGTAGATGTACATGTAATAACCATTATACAGGTTATTAAATAATAATATTAATGCCAACAACAGTAGCGATAATAAAAAGGAAATACTGTAGAGTAAATGACAAAAACATACAAAAACAAATAAAAATAATCAAATAAAATAAATTAATGTAGGCCTATACATGGTTCAACACTAGGGTTTTTTTTCTATTGGCCCGTTCGGGCCAGTGATTCAGATTTTTACTTGCCCTGCCAACATTTTCTCTGGCCCTACCAAAAAAAAAGAAGATAGTTATTCAGCATAACTTTTCTTCAAATACATCTGACGATTAAAAATGATTTAATTTAAATACAATACTGATTAGATTAATTAAAGTAAATGGTTTAGTAGAAAACTACAACAATTTTATGACTTTTGTTTGTTTAAAACCCACCAAAATGCCTAATTTTAGAAACCGGCTCATTACATCAGTCTATAATACTGTCATTTTTTTTCATTTATTTCTAAACCTAGATTTAAAAACGCATTTTCTTCTTGTTCTTTTTCATATTAGCCTACATTTTAATCAAATTTGGCCTTTGAGTTTGTTTTGTTTAAATGTAGTCTAGACTAAGAAGGCTAAAGCAAGTCTATGAAGGGGGTCCGTGCAGGCGTGCATTTCTCGTCACAGCACCGGCACTGGAGTAATATCATGAAGCAATGTTGATCTTTCTTACGAGGTGTCGAAATGAACAAAACAATAGGCTTAACACAAAATATGAGATTAAAATATTTAAAAATGATCAGATGGTAATTTCTGTCCATTTTTTTGGTCAGCGGATAAACAGCACTCGGTAATATTTCAGAATGTTTTTACTTTCATATTAGACATAGGTTTCCCCCACAGTCCAAAGACATGCGGTACAGGTGAATTGGGTAGGCTAAATTGTCCGTAGTGTATGTGTGTATGTGTGTGGATGTTTCCCAGTGATGGGTTGCGGCTGGAAGGGCATCTGCTGCATAAAAATGTGCTCTATTGGCGGTTCATTTCGCTGTGGCGACCCTGGATTAATAAAGGGACTAAGCCGACAAGAAAATGAATGAATGAATGAATGACGCTTTCACAGTCACATTTGATTTTATTCTGCTGAAAGTCATTTCTTTTTGTTAGGAGGAATGAAAGTTTAATTTTTTACAATGAGTTTTTTGGTCAGTATTTAAGAAATATATACTTTGTATTGTCTACAAAACAAACTGCTGTTGTCCTAATTAACAAAATTAGCCCAGTAAAGCCTTTAAAGCTTTAAGCTGAATATTAGTATCTTGAAAAGTAAATTACTATGTATCATCATCATAGCAAAGACAAAATAGAATTAGAAATGAATTATTAAATGTATGTTACAAGAATGTGTTGGAAAAAAACCTGTTCGTTAATCAGCACTTGAGAAATATTTAAAAAATAATCAAACATTTTCACAGGAGGGCGACTTATTTTGTCTTTACTGTATATTCAATCATTCATTCATTTTCCTTCGGCTTAGTTTCTTATTCATCCGCTGTTGCCACAGCGGAATGAACCGCCAACTATTCCAGCAAATGTTTTAAGCAGCGGATGCCCTTCAAGCTGCAACCCATTACTGGGAAACACCCATACACACTCAATAACGCTCATACACTACTGCCAATTTAGTTTATCCAATTCACCTATAGTGCATGTGTTTGGAATGTGGAGGACGCCGGAGCACCCGGAGGAAACCCACGCCAACACAGGCAGAACATGCAAACTCCACACAGAAACGCCAACTGGACTCGAACCTGCAACCTTTTTGCTGTGAGGTGACAGTGCTAACCACTGAGCCACCATGCCACCCATTCTTAAACAATATATATAAAATTTCCCAGTGAATATTGACAATATTTGGTGCATTTAAGTTTTTTCGTTAAAATAAGAGCGCGGTCATGGAGCATCTTAAGAAATAAATTTGACAAACTACAAAATTTCAATTAAATACATTTAATAAACAAATTTATAACAATAAATAATGTATTTTTTATGTTTCTTTAGATTTTTTTTTCTTGTTTATCAAAATTTTATTGAATATTTTTTCCAAAATATGAATTTGTATCAAATTTTTTTAACAGCGATCTTTAGTTTTTTGTTAGATTAGTTGCCTGTCCTGGCTTCGGTACCGACTAATTGACTGTATTTGCACAAATATATTACTGTAAAGCTTCCTGTAGAATATATGAGTGTAAAAGAGAGATCTGCGACGGGTGAATACTCGTATATGCTGAAGTCAGTATTATTCGCCTTTCTGTGAATCTTTTTTGTTCTTTAAATGAAGTTTAACAGATTCAGGATTTTTTCACAGTATTTCCTACAATATCTCATCTTCTGGACAAAGTCGTATTTGCTTTATTTCGGCTAGAATAAAAGCAGTTTTAAATTTTTTTTTAATTGTCAATATCATTAACCCCCTTGGACAATATTTGTTTTGGATTGTCTACAGAGCAAACTATTATGTAGTGATGTTTTACAAACAAATTTCGGGAGGAGCACGATCAGTCTTTGACGAGGCTAATTCATCACACGCACAGTCATTCTATTATCCAATCAGCTCAAGAGCAAACCCCTATAAATAGTTTAACACCTCATACTTTCGTTTTCTCTCGACTTCATCGTCCCCCTACTACCCCAACTCCACACTATTAAACCAGATACCTATTTAAATCTGAGGGGGGAGCGTTCTGGAGCCGGTCTAGACACTGCGTTCGGACTCTATCTTTATCCTGATAAGAGGAATAACACGAGTTAGGGTGTCTTCCCGAGCTCAGAGCCCTCTTCCCGGACAGCATGCTAAATATGCATATTCTATTCAGTCAAATATCTGCGAGTGTGAATTGTATCTTGATGTCTAAAGTCGCATTAAGCACTGTGCAGTGAACGCTGGCATGAATCGGGTGTTATTTGAGCTGCTCCTGATCTCCTCGCTCCGCATCTGTGCTGGATGTCAGGTTCAGTTTCCACCCACCTGAAAAGCTGCCGCTTACTGAAGCAACTGTGATCATATGGAGAGAGGCCGGTGTGTGTGTGTGCCTTTGTGTGTGTGTGTGTATATCTATGGAGACACTATAGCGTATAGTTATTATTAATATTTGAATAAATGACTAATATTAGAATATTATTGTACTGCTTATTGTTTTTCTTTTGGTATAAAGATTATTAAAAATATATAAAAATAAATGCAGTAAACAATATCTATATAAATATACAATTAAATATCCGTTTAATGATAAATATAATAAAAGAATGTTGTAAAATGAATAATAATGATAATAATATATCATATAGTAATTACGTACACAATTAGCTTGTGTATGTATATATACTCAGTATATATGAGGGGTATGAATAATTTGGGGCTTCATTCATTTTCTTTTTGGCTTAGTGTCTTTATTAATCTGGGGTCGCCACAGCGGAATGAACCGCCAACTTATCCAGCATATGTTCTACGCAGCGGATGCACTTCCAGCTGCAACCCATCGCTGGGAAACATCCATACACACTCATTCACACACATACACTACGAACAATTTAGCCTACCCAATTCACCTGTACCAGATGTCTGTGGGGGAAACTCGCGCGAACGCATTGAGAACATGCAAACTCCACACAGAAACGCCAACTGACCCAGCCGAGGCTCGAACCAGCGACCTTCTTGCTGTGAGACGATTGTGCTACCCACTGCGCCACCGTGCCGCCCGTCTTGACTGTACCTCATAGTTAAATAAACAGATGAAGTCAGAATTATTAGCCCCCTTTGTT